CAACAGAGTTAACACTCTTGGTGATGGCTGTCTTTTGGGTTGCAGGGCCGCATAGTCTGGTAGACGTTTACCAACGCTTCGAAAGTCCTTGCTGCCTCCAATATCAAGTCGTCGCTCTGATTATGGAGGCAGCAAGGATCTCTGAAACGTTGGTAACCAGATTATACCCAGAAGACGCTGGTCTTTACGGTGGTAACACCTGGTGGACTTCTGGCATCATACACCATCTTCAGCCCACAATTTAGAAGCATGTTCCTCCAACACGTTGGTAATGTATCTGCCTACCAGTCCACACAGCACAACATCGCACAAGACCAACATCCACGCTTTATCGCCGTCACGCCATATTTAACATCGAATTAATTTCAGTCTAAACAAAAGTACTTTATACGTCTGGAGAAACACGATTAGAAACTTGAAATAAAAAACTTCCCAAAGTAATAGAACTTAAACCGAGCACATTTCTTAATAATATTCTCTTCGCAGATGACCAAGTAATAACATCTACATAAAACGATCTACAACGTTCCATGTACTTATTAAATAACACCTGTCAAACACAAAATTCCAAAATATCTTGTACAAAAACTAACGTAATGGCCTTCAGAAGAAAATATCCCATTACAACAAAAATCATAACTAACAACAAACTACTTTAACGAGTCTCAAGTTTTAAATACCTCGACAGCGATATATCCTGACACCAACGCAGGTATTTAAATTAAATTAAATTCCAGTCCGTACGTTGAACAATACACAGAGCACTTCATTCAAAAGTACGTAAAAGATGTCATGCCAACATTTTATAAAGCATTAGCTCTACGGATTTTAATTTGTGTGACTGAATGCCGACTATCAAAACCAAAAATATGCAAGATTCATTCATCGTTCGTTCCTAAAGTAAACTTACAATGCGGAAGAGATTATGTAAGTTATATTCTTTACACTTTAAACCTCATACGATGAATTTTATCGTTTAGAGACTAGAACATCGAACAAATTCATATTTTTATAGCTCTTAGTTCAGAAATTACCTAAATAGTTACAAATGTCCAGTCGTGTAGAATAGACTAATTTCAAAAGAAACTATCATTTTTAAGGAAAGTGACATGACAAAAAGTAGTTTCTTAAAGTAAAGCACTCACATAATCATACCAATTCTAAATGCCTCGTATTTATCATTCTAGCAGCATGGTAACTGGGTAGGATCCATTTAGAATCCTGATTCTAACAAACACCTAAGACAACATATTAATCACTTGTGCACCAAGTTTACAAATGTCTAGTACGTCCGTCTCTATGCCGTATTTTCATTACTGATACAAATGGATAGTCTCCCTTACACCTGCACCTTCAATGTTGGTAGGCTGACCTTGCGTCTATAAAGTGATTACCAGACAATGCCACTCTTCAAAGCACAACAGTAGAACAAATATTTTATGGGCTCTGTGAAACTTACGAGTATAGGTCAATGTCAAAATGTGGTTCAATTCGTATTCTACCAAAGACTGGAATAATTCATCACTACTCAGAAACCAATAATTTGTGTAATAATCATGGGCAGATTTGTATTAAAAACACAATTTGATACGTAAAATTCTATAAGGTGGGCGATGCATGTAGAATGCATGGGGGGGAAA